AAATCAGCTGGAAGAGAGAATACACAGAACTCTTGAAGACATAGGTGTAGGCAAAGATTTCATAAACAAAACACTGATTGCATGGGAAATAATATAAGAATCAACAACTGGGATCTCATCCTATTAAAAACCTTTTTGTACACCAAAGGAAGTCAACAAAGAGAAAAGACAACCCACAGAGTAGAAAAAAATTTTAGCCACTTGTCCCTCAGACAAAGGATTAGTATCTAGAACACAGAAAAAATTGAAAAAAATCAAACACCACACAGTTAAAGACCCAACTGAAAAATGGGCTTCTGAGATGAATATATACTTCTGAAAGGAAAACATACAAATTGCAAATAAATAAATGAAAAAATGTTCAACATCACTGGTTATTTGAGAGATGCAAATTAAAACATGCTGATATTCCATCTCACCCCAGAAAGAAGGGCTATTATCAAGAAATCAACCAAGAACAAAAGTTAGAGAGGTTATGGGGAAAATGGAACCCTTCTCCACTGTTGATGGGAGTATAGACTGGTTCAACCACTGTGGAAATCAGTGTGGAGATTCCTCAAAAACTAGGATTAAAGGCCCCATTTCACCCAGCTATTCTCCTTCTTGGTACCTTTCTGGAAGAATTAAAAACATCACACCACAGTGATATATGCACACCCATGTTTATAGCAGCACAATTTGTAGTACCTAAATCTTGGAAACAACCTAAACGTTCATCAACCAAGGAATGAATAAAAAAGATGTGGTCTTTTTATACAACAAAGTACTATTCAGCCATAAAGAAGGATAAACTTGAGACTTTTATAGGTAAATGCATGCATCTTGACACCATACACTTAAGTGAAATAAATCAGACACACGTGTAAATATCACATTGTCTCCCTGGAGTGAGAAACTGAAAGAGTAAATAATGACCAAAATGTACAATAGATATTGTGAAATAGGAAAAAATTATTCAAAATGAAAGCGGAACTACAGAAGTGGAAGGAGGAAAGGAAGGAAGGAAAAAGGATAAAATGGAAACAAAGCTTTGTAAATAAGAAGGGGAAAGGGAGTTGAAAGGAGTGGAGGGGACTGGGAAGAAAAAAGTTGGAATCAAGATATATCATATATAGTTATAAATTTCCAATGATGAATATGATCACTTTGTATATCAAATTGTAGCAATAAACTTAATAAAAGAAAAAATAATGAAGATATTAATGAGTAAGAATAAAACACAGGTGTAAAGCTCACAGGTAAGAGTACTTATACAAATTCAGAATGTTCCAATATTACAAGCAGAGAGCATAAATCATACCTTTAGTGTGAAAATTAAAAAACAAAACCGTTAAAAATAACTACATTAAAGGCTGGGGATGTAGCTCAGTGGCACAGGGCCTGTCTGGCAATGCAAGGCCCTGATTTCAATTCCCAATACAAAAAAAATTACATTAATATATTAAGAGAGTCAGTAATGGAAGATGTAACTTGATACATCAAAAATTCAAAATGTGGAGTGGGAATGCAATGCAATTAGTATATATTTTCTTGTTCTTCTATTTGTTTCTATTCTTATCTTCATGGCTATATTAAGTAGCTACAATTTCAAAATAGCTTATTATTAAAAATGTATTTTATAAATCTCATGATCCCCACAGCAAAAATCTTTAATATATAAATTGAAAATAATAAGCAGGAAATAAAAACACACTCTTACACTAATTCATTTAACCACAAAAGACAACTGTAAAAGAGGGACAAGAAAAGAAAAATAAAAGAACTACAACAAAACTAAATGGGGCTGAGAAAAATGGGTATCCACATGCATACTGGGCCTAAACCCCTATCTCTCTCCAGTAACAAAAAACAACTCAAAATGGATTAGTCTTAAATATAAGGCCTAAAATTATGAAACTACTGGAAGAAAGCAGTGCTTCACGACCTTGAAATTGGCAGAAGTTTTTTTTTTTTAACAAGACCTAAAAAGCACATGAAATACAAGGAAAAATAGACAAATGAAATTACATTGAACTAAATACTTTCTGCACTGCAAAGTAAACACTGAATGGAGTAAAGAGACAACCTGCAGAATGGAAAAATCATTTGCAAACTACATCTAACCAGGGCTTGGTATCCATAATACATAAGAAACTCCAAAAACTCAATAGCAAAACAAAAACAAAATAATTTTATAAAATGAGTAGCAGATCTAAACATTTCTCAAATGAAGACATATGAATGGCCAACAGGTACATGAAAATGCTCCACATCACTACTCATCACAGAAAAGCAAAACCACAATGAGGTATCACCTCATCCCAGAAAGAATGGGTATTATGAAAATAACTAAAGATAGCAAGTGCTGGTGAGAATGTGGGGAAAAGGGAACCCTTGCACACTATTGTTGAGGATGTAAATTATTAGTACAGCCACTATGCTTTACAATATGGAGGTTCCTCAAAATTAGAAATAGAACTACCCTATAAGCCAACAATTCTGCTTGTGTATGCATCAAAAAGAAATGAAGTCAGCAAGTTAAAGAGACATCTGCACTCCCTTGTTCACTGTAGCAGTATTCACAATAGCCAAGGAATGGATACAATCTAAGTATCCATCAACCAAAGAACAGATAAAGAAAATGTGTTACATGTATACCATGGAATACTACTTGGCTATAAAAAGTACAAAATCCTGCCATTTGCAGCAACAAGGATAAAAACTGGAGATCATTATGGTAAATGAAATACGGCACAGAAAGACAAGTACCACATAATCTTACTCCCATGAGAAATCTAAAAAAAAGTACATTTCATGGAAATTGAGAGTCAAATAGCAGTTACCAAAGACTGGGTAGAGTAGGGTGGCGGAAGGACAGGAAAATGTTGATCAATACATACTGAGTTACAGCTGGATAGGAGGAAGAAGTTTTGGTGTGCTTTTGAACAACAGGGTAACTGTAGGTAACGATAATGTACTATACATTGCAAAAAACTAGAAGGGCTTTGAAAGTTTTCACTATAAAGAAGTAAATAATTGAGGAGATAAATATACTTAATAAAATCACATGCATTGATAAATATATACATTGACATATACATCTGCAAACCATAGATCAAATATATACACTGATTAATAATATGGTAGTCCTTTAAGACATATGATTTTATGTTTTATTAGTTAAAAATAAATTTTTAAAAGGGATGAATCATTAATAACTCCAACAACTTAGATGAATCACAAGGGAGTTAAGTAAGTGGTAAAAATCAACCTCAAAATACTATGTCCTAGCCAGGCATGGTGGTGCATGCCTATAATTTCATTACTCAGGTGGCTGAGACAGGAGGATTGACACAAGTTTGAGGTCAGCCTGAGCTACATAGTAAATTCAAGGCCAGCCTGCACTACAAACTGATAACCCATCTCAAAAAAAAAAAAAAAAAGAATATTCTTTGTGTGATTCAATTTACAACATTGGTAAAGTGATAAAAGTATAGAAATGGAGGACATATTAGTTGTCAAGGACAGAAAGGTAAAGGGAATGAGTGTTGTGCCTATAAATATGTAGTATTCAGGTATTCCTGTGGTGTTGGAACAGTTCTGCATCTCAACTGTGGTAGTGATTACAAAGGTTACACATGTAATAAAATAGACTAAAATATGTATTAGTATATATTAGCATTGCTTATGCAACTTCATAAAATACGTATGCTTTGGCCACATCCCCACAATCCTAATTAAATCTGGGATGGGACTTCGGCATCTATGATTTTGAGGTACACTTCTAGTGAATAAACATTACCTAAAAATGGGGGGATGATATAATGCAGATATTAATAGTGCTTGAAGATGTAGGATCACAGGTAATTAGAATTTCTTATTTTGCTATAATAAATATACTTTTGAGCAATATAAAAATAATAAAAGTATTTTTAAAAATCCAAACAAATTCTAATGGCAGTCAACTAGAAATTTCTCAGTAATGATAAGCAAATATACCCCGTGAACCCCGTACAGTACTAGGGACTGTGAAGACTGCAAGGTCTTCACACTGAGGTACAGCCCCAGCCCTTCTTTGAGACAGTATTTCATTATGTGATTAAGTTAGCCAGCATGAGCTCAAACTCGTGATCCTCCTGCTTCAGCCTCCTGGGTGAGATTATAGTTGTGCCCCACCACACACAACTACGATTAGAAATTTTGGGGTTCTACTTCACTTATTTAATATTTGCCCAGTTTTTATTCTTAACTAATTTCTATTCTCTATAATTTTTATAAGATGAGAGACATGTTCATACTTTACTGATGTCCAACTATACTGTGTCTACCTTGTCTGTCACCCCAAAGTGAGCCCAAATCATTCCTCTCGTGCCTAACAAAGCATATAAAACTATACTAATAATACCTTTTCTTCTCAATTATGCAGTAAGACTTACTGGCATATGCTGCCTATGCTTTCTGTTTCTTTGCAAATTGCATAGCAATTCACTTAATTCCCGTTCAGCAAGGATTTACTGATTCCCTACTATGTGCCAGGTACTATTCTGGGCTCTCTTTCCCTAGTATAAAAGACTAATTATTCATAGCAGTATTTCCTGGACAAACAGTTGCCTGTCACGTCTGCTGCACTGCCGTTCTGATGACCTATTCCACCCAACCTTGAAAGACCTTGTCATTGACCCCATTCCAAATCTTTAGATTGGACTAGTGATTTACAAGACTTTGAAAATAGAACTACCAGACTATCACTGCCTTTTTTTGGAAAAGGTCTCTCCTTTAACTGGGTTCTCACAGTATTTTATTTTTAACACTCTTAGAATACTTAGTGTATTCTACTGTGTGTTATACTTACTTTTCTATATGTCTTGGTTTGCCCTGTAAATTATAAGCTCCTTGAGAGAAGGAACTATGGTTTCTTCAGCTCTGTAGATCCAGTAAATTCTTTCCATGCTTTTGCTGTTGGTTCTGAATAACTAACCTAGAGAATAGTAGCTCCTTAAGGCAACAGTTAGCAGTCTTACCTGTACTTCCACCAACCAGTCCACAAGAATGGCCCTCATGTCACTGGTGATCTCAGTCTGCTTTGTCATGTATTTTTTAAGTATGAACTTTTCCTGGCATCAGTGAGAAATAAAGGTTAATAAACTCTTTGTGTAGTTCAAAATTGTAACTTAACAATTAACTTCTCCCCCACAGTTCTAATTCATTATTTTCAACTGGCATAAGATAGGGACAGATAAAAGTATCATTTTCCAGACAAGTTCAAGTTATCTTTGGGAAGTTCAAGTTATTGTGCAATTATAAACAATATTCAAGTGCCAGAATTAATGCTAAGGAATCCAGGGGACTAAGGGTAGGAGTACACCTGTGGCTAGAGATGAATGCTTCCACCTCTTCTTTGCACTTCAGCCTAAAAAGTAATACCCTGCTACAAAAAGCAGTTCTTTCTAGGCTTTAATGTACATAGCACCCTTGGGGGAGCTTAAAAATATCAGATTGTGATTCAGAAGATCTAGCATGGGGTTATGTTTCTGTGTTTCTTACAAGATCCCAAGTGAAACCAATACTGCTAAGCCAAGACTTACATCTTTAGAAAAAAAAGTTGTCTCATTTTCTCGAAGTGTACAGATGGTCCCCAACTTACAATGGTTGACTTAGCAGTTTTTCAACTTTATGAAGTTACGAAAGCAATATGCACTCAATAGAAACTGTACCAAAGCCTGATAAAAATTCTACTTCGTAGATAATCTTGGTATTGTCCATTCCATTGAAAGAGACAGAAGAAAATTTGGAATGATGAATATTGGTGGTAAAGGAGATAGGAAGATTTCAAAGGAAAGAGGAAACAGCACCAGATTAGAGAGCTGAAATGAAGGACGTGATTTTACATAGTGCAAGAAACATTCATAAAAAAAGGAAATCTCTAAGAGCAGCCCCTCAGAAACAAACTACTTGACCACCTCTATATCTGAGATTGTCTCCTCAGTACCTAGAGGTGCAGGAATATGATAATGCCTACCATCATGAAATTACTGGCAGAATTAAACAAGATAATGTCTATAAATCCCTTAATACAATGTTCAACAGATAGCAAGGTACCAATAGATATTGTTGCTATTATTGTTTCTTTCACCATCATTATCTTCCCTTCCAACTTGCATGCTAAAAAATGGAATGATGAGGAAATGAGACTTGTATGAATCATTGCCCATCCCCAGCTACCTACACACCTCTCTGTCTTTTAGGTAACAGAAGACGTCCTTGGCATATACTGAGCTGAAAGATGGATCACGGTACTTCTTGTCAGTATCCTCCTGTTTGGTCATCTGCTTGGAAACCACCAAAAAGACATATTAGAAGAGAGTCCAAGGAAAGCTCATATACATTAAAAACTATGTTTTTCTCCCCACTGTTTCCTTATTCTAGAGTTCTTCAAAACTCATGTATCCTAAACTATCCAGAGTACCTCTTGGCCCTGGAATTCCTCATACTATACAATGATCCAGAAATGCATAGTGTATGCCTGCTCTATACTAGGAACAAGGCTCCCTTTTAGGGATAAGGTCAACTCTCTAAGAAAAACACTCTTGTTTTATTATTTCAGTTAGGTCACCTGCCTTCTTAGGTTCTCTATTATGTCTCAATGCTTTGATTTGACCCAATTCATCTTGGTAGCCTTTTCCTCTCTTCTACACATTTACTCTGGTTGTCTTGCCTATAAGAGGGATACCTGTCTACCTGCTTGCTAAATTTCATTCCTTTATTCTTCTAATTTACAACTTAAGACCATCTCCCTTGGGGAATGCCCATGGGAACTCTTCCCATCTCTGACTGAAATTCATGTGATGCTGAGTGAAATTACTAAGATAACTGCCTCAGTGAAATTTTCTAACCACTCTTGCAAAGCCCAAGTATACAGCATAATATTCCAGACCCTTGTGGATATAAATACTTTCTGATTGGGTAGGTATACCACTACGTCAATCTGGAAGTCAAGATATTCTATTAGGCCAGCTTGATATAAGAGAAAAATGCCAAAGAGCCTGCTAAATTTATCCCATACTGCAAATAACCTCAGCCTATAAAAATCAGAAGAGATTATTCTGCATTATCTATCATTAAATAAAACCAGAGGTAAACCCAAGCACTATCCCCTTCGCATTAAGTAGAGAGACCTTCACAACTTACTATATACAGCTCAACTGCTTAGGAAGGCAAACAAAAAAAATCTCTTTGGGGCTAGGGATATAGCTCAATGGTAGATTGCTTTGCATATGTAAGCCCTGGGGTTCAATCTGAGGCACCAAAAAACCTCTTTGCTAGCAGCTACCTCTAGGACAACAAAAAGTCTTCATCTAATTTAAGAAAAAAAAAAAGAGATGAATACCTCCATCTGTGTTCTGCTTTGAGATGAGAAAGGTATTTTGGAAGCAGGTTCACTTGCATGGGACTCTCCCACACTGGACATATTGGCAGCACTGAACTTCCCTGTTCTGGACTCAACAGCATTGCTAGACACATGCAGGATGTTCTCAAGGATCAAGGACGTTTTTGGGAAAGTATCTTCCTTGTTGGTAGGATTCTCTTTTAAAATTAATGGCTCTTGAAATGACAATTCATTCCCAGTGGTGGATTTCTCATTCAAGGCTAACACCTCCTTGCAAAGGAATGCTGTATTTATGGTAGATTTTTCCTGCAAGGCTAATGGCTTCTTGGAGAGGACTTCATCCTCAGTGCTAGACTTCTTCCGAAAGACTAATGGCTCTTTGAGGACAGCCTCCTTCTCAGTGTTGGGATTCTCCTTCAAGTCCAAAAGCTCCATTAGAATAGCCTCTAGCGCAGGGCTGGGCTTCTTCTGCATGCTCAAGGCTTGCTTGAAGAGGAATTTCTTATTAGCCACATTCTCCTGCAAAGCCAATGGCTCTTTAATAAGGAACCCTTCATTGTTGGTGATGTTCTCCTGGAAGACTAACGGCTCTTTGAGGACAGCCTCCTTCTCAGGGTTGGGCTTCTCCTGCAAGGGCAAAAGCTCATTTACAATAGCCTCGGTCTCAAGGCTGGGCTGCTCCTGCAAGGCCAATGGCTCTTTCAGCATAGCCTCTGACTCAAGGCCAGCTTTCTCCTGTAAGGCCAAAGGCTCTGTGAAGATGGCTCCCCCTTCAACTGTAGGCTGCTCCTGCAAGTTCAAGGGTTCCTGGAAGACAGGCTCTTTCTCAATGTTGGGCTTTTCTCTCATGGCCAAAAGTTCCTGGAAGTGAGCCTCTGTGTCAGTGGTATGCTCCTTAAGAACAGCCGCCTTCTGAGTGCTGGGCTTCTCCTGCATGGTCAAGGCTGGCTTGAAGAGGGGCTTCTTATTAGCCACATGCTCCTGCAAAGCCAATGGCTCTTTAATAAGGAACCCTTCATTGTTGGTGATGTTCTCCTGGAAGACTAATGGCTCTTTGAGGACAGCCTCCTTTTCAGGGTTGGGCCTCTTCCGCAAGGCCAAAAGCGCCTTTATAACAGCCTCTATCTCAGGGCTGGGCTCCTCCTGCAAGATGAATTGCTCCTTTGAGAGAAATGCCTGCTCCTGAGCAGTGGGCTTGTTCTTTATAGGTAATTGCTTTTCTGTGATCGTTGCTTCCTTAGCAGAGGGCTCTTTCTTCAAAACTGAGAGTTTATTGAAATGGGACTCTTCTGCCATGGTGCTATTCTCATGCAAATCCAATGGCTTCTCTAAAGAATCCTTTTCTTCGGTATCAGTCTCCTCTTCATTAGTAGGCTTAAAAGGCGAAAACAGCTCCGGAGAGAAGAACTCCTCCTCAGTGATAGGCTTCTTCAAAGTCACTGGTTCCTCACTACAAGATTCTTCTGCCATGGTGCTCTTCTCATGCAAATCCAATGGCTTCTCTAAAGAATCCTTTACCACATCAGTCTCCTCTTCATTAGTAGACTTAAAAGGAGAAGAAAATAGCTCCTGAGAGAACTCCTCCTCAGCGATAGGCTTCTTCAAAGTCACTGGTTCCTCGCTACAAGATTTTTCTGCCACGGTGCTCTTCTCATGTAAATCCAATGGCTTCTCTAAAGAATCCTTTGCTTTGGTATCAGTCTCCTCTACATAAGTAGGCTTAAAAGGTGAAGAAAACAGCTCCTGAGAGAAGAACTCCTCCTCGGTGATAGGCTTCTTCAAAGTCACTGGTTCCTTGCTGCAAGATTCTTCTGCCATGGTGCTCTTCTCACGCAAATCCAATGGCTTCTCTAAAGAATCCTTTTCCATATCAGTCTCCTCTTTGTTAGTAGGCTTAACAGGTGAAGAAAACAGCTCCTGAAAGAGGAACTCCTCCTCAGTGATAGGCTTCTCCTTCAAAGTCACTGGTTCCTCACTACAAGATTCTTCTTTAGTGGTGCTCTTCTCATGCAAGGCTATTGGCTTTCTTGAAAGTGACACCTCCTGAAAAGCAGTGTGCTTCTCTTTCAGTGCAGATGGCTCCTCTTTAGTTGTAGGCTTCTTTTCTGAAGGCAGTACCTTCTTACAGAGTGACTCCTCTGCAAAAGTAGTCTTCCCCTGTGTTGTTTGCTTCTTCTTCAAAGATGGTGGCATCTTGGTGGGGACTGCCTTCTTAGTTGTATACTTTTTTGTCGATGATACTGGCTTCACAGAGATGGAATTCTTATCTCTAGCAATTATATCCTCCCAGTCTGAAAGATCTATCCAGAGGAGCTGTTTCTCCTTTAAAGTTGTATTTTCCTCTTTAAAGGACGGTGGCTCCTTAACAGGTGACTTCTCTTCAGAGGTGACTGTCTGCAATACTACTGGCTTTTTCAAGCGAGATAATCTCTCTGGAGTAGTGTGCTGTTTCTTCTTTAAAGGTAAATGTTTCTTGCTGGGGGTTACCTTCTCAACGTTATACTGCTTTTGAAAAGCCAAAGACTCCTGAAAACAAAACTCCTTCTCAGTGGGAGATTTTTGCAGGGCTACAGGCTTCTTCAAAGTGGACACTTCCTCAGGTGTACTATCATCCACTTGCAATAAATATGTCTCCGGGGAAAGGGAATCCTCAATAGTATATGTCTCAAAGGACAATGGTTCCTGAGTGAGTGAATCCTCTCCATAGGTGACTCTTTCAAGTAATAGTGGCTTGTAGCGGGACAGCTTCTTCTGAACTTTCTGCTTCTTTTTTAAAGGTAATGACTTCCTCCTGTAGCTTGCCTTCGTGGTCATATGACATTTCTCACGGTTGATATTCTTCTGCAATGTCCAAGGTTTCTGCAAGAGGTCTACCTCTGCTTGAGTAGCATGTTTCTCTTGTAATGTAGATGGCTCTTGGCAGAATTCAGTGATTGGATTTCTTTTAAAGGACAATGGCTTTGCACTGAGTGACTTCTCCCCAGAGATAACCTCCTGCACTTCTAAAGACGTTTTGAAGTGGGATGGCATACCATAAGTAATGCTCTTCTTCCCCTGAATAGTGTGTATCTTCCGTTGAATTGTGCTTTCCTCCTTTCCAAAAACTGGGCTTTTGGGGCGGGTTGCCTCCTTAGTGATAAGCTTCTGCTTAAAAGTCCGTATGTCCTTAGAAAGGGAATTTTCTTTAAAGTCAGTCTTCTCCTGCAAGGTCAATGATTTCTTCAAGATGTGGTTCTCTTGCTCAGTAGTGTGTTTCTCTCTCAATGCAGATGGCTTCCAGGAAAGGGACTCCTTGCTAGCAGTAGACTCTCTCAGTAAGGCTGATGGCTCCTTAGTGATTAACTCCTCTTCAGAGGTGATCTTCCGCAATAGTACTGGCTTTATCATGTTAGAGGTCTTCTCTATAGTGGTATGCTTATTACTTAAGGGTAATGGCTTCTTAGTGGAGGATGACTCCTCAGTTTTAGGCTTCTTCGTTAAATTCATCAGCTCCATAGACAAGGAATCCTCTTCAACATCACTTTCCTCCACTATCGTCAATTCTTCCAAGCAAGACTGCTTCCCCTGATATGTACCCATCTTCTTAAAGGATGGTGTCTTCTTGGGGATGACTGCCTCCTTGGGTTTATGCTTCTTCCCAAAAGTAACTGGCTCTATAACAAAGTCCTCATCATCACTCTCCTCCTGTAAGGATAGTGACTTTTCCAATAGGGATGATTCCCGAGGATTTCTGCACTTCTTTAATGACTTCTTTATGAAGGTTGTCTCTTCCGTACTAGATTCCTCTTTTAAAAGTAATGGCCTTTTGACAAAAAGTAACTCGTCATCAGTGGATGTTTCAGAGTTGGTGGATATATCCAGAAGGTATGTTTTCTCCAAAACGTTTGGTGCTGAGGGAGTAGAGCTTACTACTGGTAAGAGTTCCACCTTATATCTGTAAAGGAAAAAAGATTTGGGTAAGAAAAATGTATTTCACCTACCATCTAATTTTGTGACAATATTTACTAAAGGTATGAAAGGGAAAAAGAGTTTCAACCCAAGAGACAGGGTATACAGTACAAAAACAGTAAGATCTATGGCAAATTAAGTAAGTAGCACACTGTACAGTTTCTGTGCCTAGGTCTCCATACTTTTCTATAATTTTCTCCTAAAATCTATGTTCTACTGTCTACATATGATTAATTACCTTTATTTATATATGAAGGCTTTTATTATAGTACTTATCACACTGTATATGTTATCAATTTATCTATTACTTTCTCTCACAACCTACATTTATTTGTCTTTCTCAGCACTAGGCATCTGGTAAAATGGTTTCAATTAGGCATCTGGTAAAATAGGTTAAATTAATATTGTTTGAAGGCTAATGAGAGAGGTTGGCCGGTAATTATTACCAGTATTATCTAACCATATTTCCTTCCCTTTGGGCTACATAGGAGACACTTTCACAATGAAAGTAATAAAAAGACCAAAATAGAAATGTGTCACTTATCAGATACAAAGCTTTGTCTTAAGTAGAATTTTATGACCAGTGACTAACCTAGTGTGACCAAATCACTGGAAGACTAGCAATCAGAATAAAAGAAAATAAAAGGCAAATAAAAACACCAATCTGAGCAAAAAGAGTAAGTACCCCCAAAAACTTGATATCTATTATTCAATTTACATAAAGCGTCCAGAATAGACATTATTTCTAGAGATACATCAATAATAAAAGTAGATTTGTGGTTGCCTGAGACTACAATAGGGGAGGGGAAAAAAGGGCAACTGGGGAAGGATAAGGATTCCTAAACTGCAGATAGGGGTTTCTTTTGAGGGTGTTGAAAATTCCTATAATTAGATAGTGGTGATACCTGTACAACTCTAGGAATATAAGCAGAAACACTGAATTGTAAAAATTAATTAAAATAAAAAGTGTTTCAAAAGTTCCACCTGGGCTGGGGATTTAGCTCAGCGGCAAAAGCGCCTGCCTGGCAAGCGCAAGGTCGTGAGTTTGGTTCCCGGTACCGGAGAAAAACCAAAAAAAAAAAAAAAAAAAAGTTCCACCTGACGACACAGGTTCCAAGTCCTTTCTGATAGGTGGTCTTCAGATAGTATAGTCATCATGATAAGAACATGCTACTACCGGTGAGAGTTCTGTCTGGCATTAGACTGCCTGGATTCAAATCCTGGTTACCACTTGGTGACCTCTGGCAAGTTAACTCTCTGTGTTTCTGTTCTTCTAGCTATAAAATGGGGAGCATAATAACATCTCCTTCATAGGCTTGTTGTAAAGATCTGACAAATTCTTATGCTTAAAATAAAGGAGAATTGTTAATTATGTGCCAATAAATTAGATAATTTTGATGAAATGGACAAATTCCTAGGAAGAAACAGACTACCAAAACTCATTTAAGGAGAAAATTTAAAATCTGAATACTTATAACTAAGATATTGAAGTAATAATCAAAAAACTAACAACATCAAAAATCCAGGTTCAAATGGCTTTACTGGTGAATTTTACCAAATATTTCCTTAATACCATTTCTTCATGAACTCTTCCAGGAAACAGAAAAGAGGAAGACAGTTTCCAACTCACTCTTTAAGGTCAGTATTATTCTGATATGAAAAACAACAAAGAAATTATAAAAAAACTACAGACCAATACTTCTTATGAATATTCATGCAAAATCTCAATGAAATACTACCAAATCAAATCGAGGAACATAGAAAAGAAGTACACAGCATAACCAAGGGGATTTATTCCAATTATGTAAGGTTAATTTAACATGCTAAATTCAATTCATGTGCTATACTTATACTGATGGAATACACAACAAAATCCACATAATCATTATCAATAGATCCAGAAAAATGATTTGACAAAATCCAACATTTTTTCATGATATAAAGCACTTAGCAAACTAGGAATAGAAAGCAGATTCCTCAACCTGATGAGAGACATCTATGAATAACCCAAGGTAACATCATAATAGTGACAGGATTATGCCTTCCCTCTAAAATTGAGGAAAGACAAGTTGCTAAACTCCTGATTCTTCTGCTCAACATTGTACTGAAAATTATAGCTAGGGCAATGAGGCAAGGATATTAAGTAAAATGCATCCCTATTGGAAATAAATAAGTTAAAAGTATCTGCATTCACAGATGATATGCCCGTAGAGAAAATCCTAGAGAATTCACACAAAACTACTAGAACTAATAAATTCGCAAGACCCAAGGATACAAGATCAATATATGATAATCAAATGTGTTTCTATCTCTTGTAATTAAGAGTTTAAGAAAGAAATTAAGAAAACAATTTCAGAGACTGGGGATTTAGCTCAGTGGCACAAGTGCCTGCCTGGCAAGCCTAAGGTCTTGAGTTTGATGCCCAGAACCAAAAAAAAAAAACAAAAAAGAGAAGAAAAAGAAAAAGAAAACAATTTCATTTATAATAGTGTCAAGAATAAAATGCTTAGATACAAATTTAACAAGAAGTATAAAAATTATACCCTGAAAAGTTTGTAAAATATTGAAATAAATTAAAGATCTAAATAAATACAAAGATACTACATGTTCATGAATTGGAAGACTTGGTATTTGTTAAGGTGGCAATATTTTCCAAGTTGATTTATAGATTCAAAGCAATTTCCTCAAGAATCCCCGCTGGCTTATTTATAGAACTTGACAAGCTGATTCTGCAATTTGCATGTAATTGCAAGGAACCCAGAAGAGCAAAATAATCTTTAAAAAAGAAAACAAGCTGGGTATGGTGGTGCATGCCTGTAACCCCAGCATTTGGGAGGGTAACGCAGAAGGATCACCAGGAATTCCAGTCCAGCCTGGGCTACATAGTGAGTTCAAGGCCAGCATGAACTACAAAGTGAGACCCTGTCTCAAAAAAAAAAAAAAAAAAAAAAAAAAAAAACAGAAAAAGAAAAAAAAAAAGAAAACAAGATTTGGAGGGCCGTGTTCTCTAATTTCAAAACACACTAAAAAGCTACCACAATCATGACAGTGTGGTACTGGCATAAGATAGGCAATGGTAAACCTATAGACAAAATAAAATTCTATCTATGGAATAAAGTTGAGAGTCCAGATATAAATCCTTACATGTACAGTGAATTAATTTTTGATAAGGATGCCAAGACAAAGGGAGGAAGATTAGGATTCTCAACAAAAGTGCTGGGGAAACTAGATAACCACATGCAAAAAAGTGAAATCAGACCCCCCTAACCAACAGCAAGCAAGAAAAATTAACTCAAAATAGATCAAAAACCTACGTTAAGAGCTGATACTTTAAAATTCTTACAAGAAAACAGGTGTAAATTCTTTATGACCTAGGACTTGGCAATGGTTTCTTAAATATGACAACACAAAAGTAAAAGCAACAAAAAATTAGGCTTCATCAAAGTTAAAAACCTTGTGGTTCAAAGTACATTATGAACAAAGTAAAAATACAGCACACAAAATGGAAGAAAATATTTGCAACTCATATCTAATAAGCAACTTGTATCTAGAATATATAAAGAATACTTAGAACCTAATAATACAAACACTAACAACTATTTTTTTAATTGCAAAGGATCTGAATAGATATGTATTCCTCCAAAGAAGATACAGTGCAGTCACTGTGGAATATAGCATGGCAGTTCCTTAATATGTTCAGCATAGAATTACCATATGACCCAGTAACCACACTCCTTGGTATAACTGGAAAAAAACTAAAACTAGATTTTCAAAAAAAACTCATACACAAATATTCATAGCAGCACTACTGACAATAACCAAAAGGTAGAAGAAACTCAAATCTCTATCAACTGATGGATAGATAAATATATCATATATCCATACAATGGAATATTATTTGACAATCTTAAGAAATGAATACTGATATCTGCTATAATATGCAAGAAACCCAAAAACATTATAAGTGAAAGATAACACAAAAACCCATACATTGTATACTTTCATGTATATGAAACACCTAAAATAAGAAAATCTATACAGAGACATAAAGTAGATTAGCAGTTACCTAGAGCTGGGAAGGATGGGAAGACTGAGAGGTGATACACAAAGGGTTTGTTTGGGGTTGGTGAAAATGTTATAAAATAGTGTTGGTTGCATAACAGTGAATATACTAAAAGTGACTGAATTATATACTTAACATGAGTTGTATGGTCTGTGCATTATATCTCAATAAAGCTATTAATAAAAAACTTACAAGATGTATGATTATAATAAATAATAAATGAAAGGTATTAGTAGTTCTAGTGCTATTTTTAAGGTTCATTCCATTGAACCTTAAACAAGGGAAGAATGTTTACATCATTAGTGAGGGCAGCCTTGATAAAGTCAGATCAATGGAAGAAATTCAAAAGAAAATAATGCAAGGAGCTAAGATCAAATATGTATGGAAACCCCAGGAATCCCATTTCAACAAGAGACCAAGTAGGGATAAATGCTGATCTTCTGGTTTGATTATTTTCTACTAGGTAATTAGCAAAGTATCCAGTCAATCTTACAAGTTAGTTTCCCAAACTTCCCAAACTTCTTACTTTATTTACTGGAACCCAAGTTTGGCCCTGGTATAGCCATCTATTTAATCTATTCAGTCAGTCCCTGAAGAAATACTTCCCACAAGAATAGGAGAGAATATAGGAAGGACATAATCTAATTTTTAAGATTATGAAACATCCAAAATAAGAAAATAATAAGTCCTCATAATCTAACCTCATAAGAAAGTCCTCATAATCTAATCTTCTTCTACCAAAAGTTTTCTAGGGGTAAATTATTTTTCCATTTCTAAATGGGAACGCTCATCTCCTGAAGTTTCTAAAGGGATTAGCAAACTGGTAAACAATCAGCTAGCTGACGAGAGTCCCTGAAGGGTTAAATTGCCTCCACACTCCCCCATACAGACTAGTTCAGAGATTAAATTGCTAAAGCAGAGAAAAGATGAACATATGGTCTTTGGGAAAATTCTTCAATTGCATGTATTCATGTGCATGCACATATGCATGCGTGCACACACACATACACGGCCATGGAAGGAGAGAAGAGACCTAAAGCTCTTTAGCATCCACAGTAGGCTCAACTCTGCGCATAAAGTTAATGTGACAGTCACCACTGTGGCTCACTAACCATGCTCTCCACAGGGACAAAAAGGATGTCACACACTCCCTGTTCCCACCTAATACAATACAATCCAAGTCCCCTCTTACTTTTTTATTCTTCTTTCAGCATATTTAGCCAACTCAAGGCCACGTTTCCTTCTTTTAATCGTCTTGGGAACATCTTTTACAATCTCTTTATTGGCTTCCTTCTTAGACTGGACAGGTTCACTTTGAAAAGCCTACCAAAAAAAAAGAGAGAAGGAGGCAGGAAAGTGAAGAACACCACAAATATCCAATAAGTTGTTCTCATGAGAAAGTCCCGAGCACCAGTTCCACTGCCTTACTCTGAGCACATCAAAGTCTCCACCTTGCGTTTTGCTAGAGTCCTGGGCACAGTCCCTCCACGGTACAGCAGGCTAATCTTCTGCCTGGTTAGCAGCAAGGGTTAAGTTTTTGTCTGTTTTGCCTGGTGCTCTGGACACCCATGAGAGACCACTCAACCCCCTATACCCTTACTGGGCCTGCCAGAATCTCCTCACGTCAGTCCCAGGAGCACCTGGGTCTCCACTGGGTGTCCCAAGGCAACACAATCCTCCACCTGGTGTCTAGGGCTGGTCCCACGGACACCAGAATATACATCAGGTACCCATTGTTGGCCCCCACCAGCAGGAACCCACACCACATACCTCAGAACTCAATGCTCCAAACCTTTCCTGAGCTGATGCTCCAGCTTGAACAATTGCTACAAACGGGTTGACAGACAGGGGACCCCCTGAAGCGACAAATCTCCACACAAACCCAGACTATAATGCAGGGCAAAGAGGACTGTGACTTGTAAGATTAAAAAGACTGCAGGCTCTGGAAGAAAACACTCTTCTGGAATTTTTTTCTGTCTTTTTTTTCTTTTACTCTTCTTGCATTAAGCCCAATTTTCTTTTTTCTCTTCTACAGGCATTTTTGGGGGGTTATTATTATTGTTATTATTACTATTTTACTACTGGTGGAGTTTGGAGTTGTATCATAAATTTCTTTCTTTCTTTTTCTTTTTTTTGGCTTTTTGACACAAGATTTCACTGTGTAGTTCAGGTTGACCTTGAACTCAAGTTTGTAGCCCAGGCTGGACTTGAACTCACAACAGTCCTCCTGCCTCAGCCTCCCACATGCACCACCACACCCAGCCATCCCCCATTTTCCTGTTTCCCCTTTTTAAAATGTAACTTTGTTTGAATGTGTCCTCCCTTTTTTCCATCTCTCTTTTTTTCTTTTCCTCTAGTTTAATCTTCATTTCCTATTGTTTAATCCTAGTTGCTTTTATCGGATACTGTTATCTAACACTAATAATTTTCCTTTACTCCTTAATAGGATCTTTCACATCACTTTCACATCAATCTTACCACCTTCCTCCCATGTTCCTTATTTAATTTTTCATAACCTATTTCTTTTTTTCTTCTCTTCATGCTTCAATACCCACACCATTTATTTTTACAAATCTGTAGGTAGTTAATTATATCTTACTAAGACTGACTACTATTCTATTTTAAAGGAGGTAATATTGCTCTATTGAGTAGATATTTACTATATATAAATACCTAGGTTGGCTTAGTTTGTTCTACAACAATAGATCATATTTTTATGGTTAAAGGCGGTACAGTGTAAGTTATTAGAGTTTGTCATTATCCAATTTGTGCTTGATACTCATTATTATTGATTGCAACACTTTAGCCAAGGGAGACATAATTATGACAATCAATTGGTGTTCCACATATGCCAAAAACCACATGGTCTGGAGGTCATGAACAATACTATGCTCCACTACAAAAGACCTGGGTACTAGATCAAACAGGCCGCAACCTATCCTCCCTAGCAAACAAAGGTGACAGGATCCTGGGAAAGACCCAAAGGCCAATAGCTAGCTAAGCCTAGAGAACATCTCTGAAAAACTGCTGCTGTTATAACTAGAAGTAATTCTCTCTGCAAAACATAGAGACAGAGACCAAATCACTTAAGGTAAATAGAAGGGATAAATAGCATCACTGGACATACAAAACTGAAAAGACTTCTTGAGGAGGCAACATATTACTAAAAATCTTCATAAAAACCACACACTCTCCTCACTCTATTAGACCTCAACTTGCAGTACCCTCAAAAAGACAGAAAAAGATATATATCATAACATAAGTACACATACACACAAGGACACAAGAAGCAAGGCAACAGAAGATCCCTGAGGTCTCCCAACTCTCCTAAAGCAGAGCAAAGAGAGAGGAAAGTAAAAAACAGGTATTGGAACTCTACGAAAAGTTTATAGAAGGGATGAAGAAATTAGACAACTTCAAAGAGGAAATGAACCAAAAGTTCACAGCAGTATCACTCAGTATGTCCATGGTGAATTCAGGGGAAGTAAGTGAAAAACTGGATGAGACAACCAAAACAGTTCAAATTTTGAATGATAGATTCAACAAGAGTATAGAAACCTCAAATTGATGTCACACACAAATAGCTGAAATTTTAAAAAACTTACAGAATTCATAAATTGCAGAAATCACCTATGTGCAGACAGAACATTATCCAATTTGTGCTTGATACTCTTATTATTATTGATTGCAACACTTTAGCCAAGTGTCCTTGAAACTAAGGACAGAAGAGTGAATTATACTGACTTACTTAAAGAAGCCACAAGAGAATAAGAAAACAGGAGAAGATAATCTAGCAGCTACTAGATGACAATCAGAAGATCAATCTAAGGCTAAGTGGAGTTAGGGAAAAACCAGATGATAATACAAGTGGATTTGCTAACATATTTACAAAAATCATAGAAGAAAATTTTCCAAATATGAGAAAAGGATTTAAAATGCAAGTAACACAACACCAAACAAATATGACAAGAAAAGAAGGTCACCAAGGCATATCCTCATTGAAATACCAGGTATTCAGCAAAGAAAAAGCACAGAATTTTTAAAACAGAAAAAAAAACATAAAAATCACATATAAAGGTAAATCAACTAGAATCACATGAGACTTCTCAATACAAACCTTAAAGGACAGAACAGCTTGAAGTAAAGTATTTTAGGACCTAAGAGCAAATAATTTCCAACCGAGATTAACTTATCCAGCAAAGCTACGCTTCAAAATGGATACAGAAATAAGGTATTTCCATGAAAAAGACCAATTCAAAAGGTATACAAGTGCTATATCATCACTGCAAAAAATACTTAAGGATATTCTTGACAGAAACAACAAAACCAACAGCTAAAATCTGAGAAGAAACAAAAACTTCAAGTAAGTTCAATGGATAAACAACCAACAAAAAAAGTCAGAAAAAGAAAAATAAAAGAGTCATCATAGAAAAAGAAGACAATAATAGTAAATAATCAACGTATTTCAGTAATATCTCTCAAAGTTAACAGCCTCAACTGTACAATTGAAAGACACAGATTGGTAGACCAGATTAAAAAGCAGAATCCAGCAATCTGTTGCATTCAAGAAACTCATCTAATCCAAAAAGATATTCATATACTAAAAATTAAGGGGATGAAAATAATATTTCATGCTCCAAGACCCTGAAAAAAGCAGGGATAACAATGTAGAACCCAGACATGGTAAACTTCAAGCTAAAACTAGAAGAGACAAAGAAGGCCACTAGATATAACAATCCAACAAGAAGAGATAACATTGAATATTTATGCACCAAATACTGCACCTATCTTCATAAAGCAAAAACTTCTGAATATAAAAGGTCAAATAAACACTAATACAATCAATGTGGATGATCTTTAACACCCAACTTTCACAAAGATATAAATGAACTAAAGATCAATAAATTTCAGAGCTAAACCACACCCTTGAACATAAGGGTATGATAGATATCTACAGAGTATTCCAACCCTCTACAATGAGAGTATACATTCCTTTCTGCAGCACATGATACTTTTTCCAAAATAGATCACATACTAGTCCACAAAGCCTGCTTAAATAAATATAAAAGAAACGCAATGACCTGATGTATACTATTAGACCACCGTAAAATGAAAATAGAAATCAACAACAGAAAAAAAAATCACGAAAAAGGAAGGAGCTCCTGGAAAATTAACAATATACTCCAGAACAAGCAATGGGTCACAGAACAAGTCAAAGGAGAAACTAAAACCTTAATGGAAGTTAATGACAACAACTGTAAAACTCACCAAAAACTCTGAGACACTATGAAAGTAGTTCTAGGGCAGTCAGTGCTCACATTAGGAAAATGCAGCAAGCTCAAATAAATAACCTTATGAGAAATCTTAAGATACCTGAGAAACAACAATAATCCAGGCCCAAATCAAAATTAAAGAGGGAAATTATAAAGATGAGATGAGAGTGGAAATCAGTGAAATTGAGAATAAAAAAACAGTACAAAAATATCAACAGACTGAAGAGCTGGTTCTTTGAAATATCAATAAAATAGATAAGCACTTAGCCAGACTCATGAAAAGAAAGTAAGAAAAGACATCAAAGCAATTAGAAATAAAAAAGGTGAAATCGCAAGAGATATTCTTGAAATCCACAAAGTAGTAACTGCTGTGAAAGTTGTTTTCCAACAATTTAGCAAATTTTAAAGAAATGGACAGATTCTCAGACTCATACAAATTAACAAAGCCCAACTCAATTAAGACATAAATATGCTTAACAACCTAATAATGGTGAAATTTGACACAGTAACGAAGAACCTAGCAACTAAAAAAAGGCCAGGCCCTGATGAATTTATGGCTGAATTCTATAAAAACCTTAAGAATGTTATATCACCAATACCTCAAGCTCTTCAAAGAAATTGAAAGGGATAGAGTACTTCCAAATTCATTTATCGAAGCCAGTATCACCCTGATTCCAAAATCAGATAAAGACCCAACTAAAAAAAAATCTACAGGTCTATCTCCTAAACATATAAAATCCTCAATATGATATTAGCAAATAGAATGCAGCACAGTATCAAAAAGATCGTATATCATGACCAAGTAGGCTTCATACCAGAGATGCAAGGGTAGTTCAACATACATAAGTCAATAGATGTAATACATCACATAAACAGAAGCAAGATTAAAAAAAAACCCACATGATCATATAATAGATGCAGAAAAGGCTTTCAACAAAATCTAACAGCCCTTCATGATAAAAACCCTGAAGAAAGCAGGTATAAAAGAACTATATCTGAATTTGATGAAAGCTATATATGACAAACTAATAGCTGGCATCATACTAAATGGGAAAAGCTAAAAGCCTTTCACCTAAAATCAGGAACAAAACAAGGATAGCCAGTATCACCAGTTCTATTCAACATAGTACTTGAAATATTAACCAAGTAAGGTGTGGTGGCACACACCTGTAATCCCAGCACTCAGGGGCCTGAGACAGGAGGACCGCAACCACTCTGAGGCCTGCCTGGGCTACAAAGTCAGTTCAAGGTCAACCTGAACTACATAATGAGATCCTGTCAAACAAACAAACAAAAAAGAAATATTAGCCAGCACAATTAGGCAAGAAAAAGAAATAAAAGGGATGCCTATAGAAAAGGAAGAACTCAAATTATCATTCTTTGTAGATGACGTGATACTCTACATAGAAGACCCAAATAACCCCATCAGAAAACTCTTAAAATTAGTAACAAACTTCAGCAACATAGTAGGACACAAAATTAACAAACAAAAATCATTAGCATGTGTGTATACCAAAAATGAACAGGGTGAGAAGGAAGTTATGAAAATAATAACATTCACAGTAGCTTCAAACAATGACATACCTAGGAATTAACCTAACCAAGGATATGGAAGACCTCTACGAAGAAAACTACAGTACTCTGAAAAAGGAGATTGAAGAGGACATCACAAAACAGAAAGATGTTCCCTGCTCCTGGATATGCAGAACCAGTATTATCAAAATGGCTATATTCCCAAAAGTGATATACAGATTCAATGCAGTTGCAATCAAAATACCAACAGCATACTTTACAAAACTATAGAAAACAATCCTAAAATTCATATGTAAATAGAAGTGACCCACAATAGCAAAAGTAATTTTGGGCAATGAGAACAAGGCAGGAAGCCTTGCAATACCAGATTTCAAGCTGTCCTACAAAGCAATAGTGACAAAAACAGCACGGTGCTGGAACCAAAACAGATACCTGGATCAATGGAACAGAATTGACGATACAGAATCCTCCCCATATACTTGCAGCTATCTGGTCTTTGACAAAGGAGCCAAAAGCATAAGTTGGAGGAAAGATAGCCTATTCAACAAGTGGTTCTGAGAAAACTGGTTAACTGCATGCAGAAGACTGAAACTGGAACCTCCTTATCTCTGACCATATACCAAATTAAAATCAAAGTGGATGAAAGATCTAAACACTAAAACAGAAACATTAAACCTACTAGAAGATAATATAGGCAAAACACTTGAAGACATAGGTGTAGGAAAGCATTTTCCAAACAGAACTTCAATTGAACAAGAAATAACAGCAAGACTCAACAAGTGTGATTACATCAGGCTGAAAACCTTCTGTACAGCTAAAGAACCAATTAGTAGAGTGAATCTACAGAATGGAAAAAAAATTTTGCCACTTGCTCCTCAGACAATGGACTATATATAAAGAACTCAGAAAAATTAAACCACCTAAAATTAAAGACCCAGTCAACAAATGGACAAGTGAAATAAACAGACACTTCACAGAGAAAAAATTACCAATGGCCAAAAATATATGACAAAATGAACTGAGCGTGGTGGTGCACACCTGTAATCCCAGCACTCAGAACACTGAGGCAGGAGGATCACTGTGAGTCGAGGTCAGCCTGGGTTACTGTGAGTTCAAGGACACCCTCACATAGCAAGACCTTGTCTCAAAAAATAAACCTCCAGGGGCTGGGGACTTAGCTCAGCGGCAAAAGCGCCTGCCTGGCAAGTGCAAGGTCGTGAGTTCGGTTCCCGGTACCGGAGAAAAACAAAACAAAAAAAAAATAAATAAATAAACCTCAAAAAAATACGTATTAATGAAAACACGTTCAACATTTCTGGCCATTAGAAAGATATAAATTAAAACAATGCAAAGATCCCATTTTACTCCAGAAAGAATGGCAATCATCAAGAAATCAAAAAATGCTGGTATGGCTACAGAGAAAAAGGAACCCTCCTACACTGTTGATAGGACTGTAAACTAGTACAACCATTATGGAAGTCAGTGTGGAAATTTCTCAAAGAACTAAAATTACAAATTCCATATAACCCAGCTATCCCCGTTCTAGGTATCTCCCTCAAAGTGCTTAAAATATCATACTACAGTGATACATGTATACCAATGTTTATAGCAGTACAATTCATGATGGGTAAATCCTGGAAGCGGCCTGTATACCCAGCAACAGATGACTGGATAAAGAAAATGTGGTATCTATATATAATGGAATACTACTTGGCCATAAAGGATTACGCCTGTAATCCCAGTACTCAGGAGGCTGAGGCAGGATTGCCGTGAGTTTGAGGCCAGCCTGGGCTACATCAGTGAGTTCAAGGACAGCCCGCACTACATAGTGAGATCCTGTCTCAAACAAAAGGACAAATTTGAAACATTTGAAGGAAAATGGATATACTTGGAAAATATAATGTTGAGTGAAATAAATGAGACACATGAATATGAATACTGTATGGTATATCTCATCTGAATAAGTCAAAGTACAAATTTAAGAGAAAAGAAAAAGGAGGATAGAATGAGACAAGGGGATGGATTTCTTGCAGATGGGAAGGGGCCCAGGGGATGCAGGAAGAAGGAGGACGGGGAGGAAATGGGGAAATAGGAAATACTAGAGTGGAGATATGCCATGTACAAGGTCCTAATAACCTCAGTGCTACATATGGACATAGGTAGATATATCATTTATGAGGAATGGGCCTTTACCAGATACCAAATCAACTGGCATCCTGATTTTGGATTTCTCAGCCTTCAAAAGTGTAAGGAATAAATTTCTGTTGTTTTTAAGATCCTTGGTCTGAGGTATTATGTTATAGGACCCTAAATGGATAAAGACACCTTGCACAGTCCCATTCACCGCTATCAGGGACTCTGGGGCTAAGAAAAGTTACACTAAGGTGAACTGTATCTTCTCCTGATTTGTGTGGATACCTTATTTCAGCCAACTTTCTAGATCCATGATTAACTAACTCAAGCAATGAACCTAACCTTACATATGTATGCATGAGGGGGCTCTTTCTATAGAGTGATAGTAAATCTGAAATCATACTGAAAGCTAACATATGTGTTATAATCAGCATGGAGGACAGACTAGATTTCAGAAAAGTAGTCACATAGCATCTAAAGAGCAGGGATTCAAAGAAGCTAACTTTACCAATGCTTAGCCAATCCTGCACAATGGGGTAAAACATTATCTAGTAGGTACAAGTATTTTGGAAGACAAAATAAATACTCTATTTTAGATGTCGAGTATAGTTCATCAGGCTTCTTTGCAGCCTAGGTGAGATAAAACTTCTAAACGCACACTGGAAAAGTCCTCATCTGTAAAGTATAGATGAATAACCATTTACTATACACTCAGATGAGAATTGAGTTGATAGAGAAAAAAGTGCTTAGATTAGTGCCTGACATATAGTAAGCACTTAGTAGCGATCAGTCATTACTATTTTGTTAGACTAGAGACTACTTTTGGCCTAATTCTATACTCAATTAGCAACATTATGTTATGATTTTTACTAGTACCTTTATAATATCAGAAAGCAGATGACTTGGATGTGAACTTAAAAATTCCAGTTGAGATTCTAGATTTTCATAGTTGGAGACCAGATCTTTGAACTGTGGCTCTCAGTGCTTCTATATATCCTGGAGATTTTTTTTTTTTACCGTCATTGTGACTGGGCTAGTGCTGTAATTTAATGCCCAGGTGACAGAGATGTTAGCTGAGGTCAGCCCTACACAACCAAAAAATTGTCCTGCCCAAAATGTCCATAGTGCTTGAATTGATAAGCAATACTCTAGACTAAAATGTTTCCACAATAGTAGTTACATCCAAATCCTAGGCATCCCGCTGAGCCACTGCTGGACTTTCCCTAAATACAGTATAATATCCCTTTTTTTTTTTCAGTTATCTACAATTTTATACCTGTTAATCACTCTATCTGCCATTCCTGAGAACTCTACCAATTAACTCAACTGGTATGTGCCACAGAAGAAGAGCCCCTGCAGTTTCTGAAATAGGGCATTGATTCCAAATAAAATCTGCTCTTAACACTCTAGGGAGGGTAAGAGTCTGGCAAACTGGAGAGACTCCTCAAAGAAGAGGCTATGTAAGGCTTACACAAAAGCAAAGCAAAGAATTGAACTAGCATACTCACATTTGTGAGATCTTCAAAAGCTGATCTCTTTTTTAATGTCCCCTGAGGTGAGGATGGAGATATTTTTACATGGTAATTCTCTCTCATCTGAAAAAGTAAAAGAAGTAAATGGGTATATCCAATAGTGACCAGTCCCCCTTCAGGAACATCTTCAGGGCTTTGGAAAACTCCAGAATCTCCAAGTAACTGGGAAGACACATGATAGGTCCCATAAACTATAACTAAAAAGATACTTTGGCACTCAGAGCTTCACTGATGATGGAGACAAGACTGTGAAGAGACAAGAATACCTTCAGTGTAACCTTCAGAATGAGCATTATAGTTTATAGAGGCTATTTTTTTCTCTAATTCTTTATATTTATGGCTACTTATCATACTATCCAAAATTAATCAGTACGACTCCTAGTCATTCCTTTAATATGGATGCTTTCAGGTAAATGTGTTCAATAATTTAAGAGATATTTAAGCAAATCTTATGTTAAAGTAGCTAATTTAAGACAATTCTAATAAAAATAACAGTACACATACCTAGATATTAGTCCAGAATCAGATCTTTACTAATTATTGACCTTAGACAAACTACTTAATCTCTGAGCCCCAATTTCCTTAGCAGTAAAAATGGAATGTTAACTACTTTACAGAATGATTTAGAATTAAAAAGAGAATACATTTTTTAAGTCTAGCAGGGTGTGGTGGTATATGCCTATAATTTCAGTACTTGGGAGGCTGAGGCAGGATTGCCACAGCCTGAACTACATAGAGACCCTGTTTCAAAAACCAAAAGAAGTCTATACAAACTATAAATGGACAGAAATAGTATTTTAAAAGTATGTAATCTGGTATGACTATAAACCTCACAGAGAAATTTTTGTATTTAAAAAAATATCTGCTAATCTAGATTAATCTTTAATTGCTAGTGGACATAAAGAGGAAGGGGGGAGGACTGAATATTCTACAGCAGAAGGGGTTTCCTTTCTAGCTATTGTTTATCTATGCATGACTTACTACACTCCCAAAGGAATAAGATCATCTCTATGAGGTTAGAAGTTATCATACTGTAGGGCTCCTCTTTGCTTAATAGCTTTTATTTGGTGAAAGTCTCCTAATTCTCAGACCTCCCCTATGAAATCCTGAGAACAAACTCTGCCTTGCATATATCAGAGAGTTCTTACCATGTGAAGCAGGCCACCGGGACCTGACCATCTGCTCTGTTCTCCAGGTACACCATTAACAGTTAGTATATAATACAATAAGTTACCAGAACTTTAGAAAATTGAATTCACAACACAACAGACCACTCCAAAACTCCTGAAGATTTGAGAAGAACTACTTCTATGTCCTGATTTGCGAAGATAAGAAATAAGTAAATATTAGTCTTTTATCTTGGTCATGATAAATAATCCCAATAGAAATAATTAGCAAAAATAAAATATTTCCTCATACATTAGCTAAAAAATAAACTGTCTGTTGTCCAATTCCACTTAATATTACTGACAAATAATTGGTTCAATATAAAATTAATGGTGGAAAAGTGAATGCATAAAACTGAGACTTGCAAAATGTGCTCCAAAAAGTTGGGTTAGGAAAAATAAATGCCACAAAAGAAAACTTAATGGCAGAACTCCAATTAGAAAATGTCATATAGGGCTGGGGATTTAGCTCAGCTGCACAGCACCTGCCTGGCAAGTGCAAGGTTGTGAGTTCGATTCCCGGTACCGAAAAAAAAAAAAAATCAACTAAGAAAATGTCATGTAAATAAAATCTTGATCAATGTATCAAATCTTTCTTTATACTTTATATGGGAAAATATCTGACCCTTCTGTGAAAATAATTTTAGTAAAACAAAAGTGAAGATGGTAAGAACATATTTCTCTGCACTGAGAAAAAAATCAAAAAAATTAAATTGGCCTAATGATGTTTGATTTGGGAAACACTCTCTTGACAATTTCTCAGTGTTAATATAATTCAAATTAAAATATGTATGGCAGCTGGGCATGGTGGCGCACACCTGGAATCCCAATGCTTGGGAGGAGGCTTTGGCAGGAGGATCACTGTGAGTTTGAGGCCAGTCTGGACTGCATAGGGAGTTCAAGGCCAACCTGAACTACAAAGTTTGACTGTTTCAAAAAAAAAAAGTAGGACAACAAACATGGAATACACCAGGGTCAGAATGGCAATGTCAAACTATCCACAGGTCAAAACAGCACAATAAAATATATCCACATTATTCAAACTTAGTACTGGTTGAGTATTACTTAATTCAAAATGCATGGAACTAGAAGTGTTTTAGATTTCAGATTTTTTTTAGATTTTGGGGTATTTGCATATACATAACAAGATCTCTTGGGAAATAAGACCCAAGTTTAAACAATAAATTCATCTATATTTCATATACACTTTATACAATTGGCCTGGAGTAATTTTAGGACACCTATATTTTGATTGTGACTCTGTCATAGGAATTCAGACATGGCATTTTTTATTCGTGGAGTCATATTGGCACACACCAAGTTTTAGATTTGCGATTTTCAAATTAAGGATACTCAATTCATACCTGTAAAAACTATGATAATGCATTTGCCAATATAATCTTCATACTCACGCCAAGATGCACATCCTGGTAAGCTGCTTGGCACTTCTCAAAGAGAGCAAGAGTACAGACAGGCACGATCATTAATCAGAACTGAATACTGTTTGGTTTTTAAAGTTGTGGAGGATGGCCTTTATTTGAGTCATGTATTTACAGAAGAATTCACACTTTGTTCCCAAATTCTTTTTTTTTTTTTTTTTTTTTTTTGTCTTTTTGAGACAGAAAGTTCAGGCTGGCCTTGAGCTCACTTTGTAGCCCAGGCTGGCCTCCAATTCACAACGATCCTCCTGCCTCAGCCTCCCACTTGTTCCCAAATTCTAACTTACTGATATTCTCTACCTACTAAGGGATGCCACCTCTTCACAATTTCTCAGATTAATCTAGGCATACTGGTATTTAAAATATGCAAGGGTCCTACGATGAATGTGATCATTATTTACATCAAAAGTATAGCAATAAAATTAATGAAAAAAATAAATAAAATATGCAAGCATGAGGCAAAGTCATGAGCCAATGCCAGAGACACTACTGGGAAAGACAGCTTGCTCTAACCTTCTTGGATTGGCCATGATCACTGCGCACAATTTCTGTGGACTGAAATTTCTTAGTTTCAGGCTTGAACTGTTGTGGTGGCCGTGGCATCTCTTACAGATTCAGGAGCGTCTTTTCCAAGGCAGGGCTGCAATCAGAAAAGACTTTAAAACACCATTCACCAGAAACATCACAGAATTCTCCAGAAACTTTTGAAAAACCTCAAATTCTCTATAGTATCCCTTCAGAAAACATACTTTGAAGTTGGGTGTATCTGGGTTCAAATCTTGGTTATGTCACAATTAACCTTGTGAAAGTATCTTAAACTCATTTGGCTTCAGCTATCTCATCTGTAAAACAGAAATAAGTTTATCTAGTTCTATAGGGTGTTAGAATATACATATGTATATTCTAACTAGTGAGGACTCACTGGAAGAATCTTTAGGAATATAAAATAGGGTCCCATATTGAGATGGGCAAATTAATTTCAAATTAAATGAGATACTCTATGTAAAAAATTCCACACATACCTGCCATTCTATATAGGCACTGGGGCCATGGCTTAGCACCTAATTCAGACTAGGAATACTGGCACATGTTAACATGACAGTTTTGCATTGAAAACAATCAAGTATACAATGACTCCTATAGTATGGAGATAGAGTTAATGTTCTTTAAAAGGCATAGGGTTCTGGCCATAGCAATTACAATGATGCTACAGAGAAGACAAAAAAATAACTGCATACACATGTATGGATGATAGACCAAACATTATTCAAAGGCTGCATTTAGTCAGGAAAAAAAAACTGTAATCTAATTCAAAAAAGAAGATAATAGTACAAGGAATTAAATCATTGAAAATGATTTGTCTTAAGAATTTAATGTTCATTACATCCCTTAGAAGAATCCTTTGCCCATCTCAATATGGGACCCTATTTTATATTCCTAAAGATTCTTCCAGTGAGTCCTCACTAGTTAGAATATACATATGTATCTTACAAGCAAATACTTTATTATTAGAAATAATCATTGTTTGGATAAATAAGAGACACTTTACGCCCAGATACAAGAGGCTCTTCTAAACCCAAATTCAATTTCCAAATTCATTTGACAAAGAACAGGCTTCCCTAAGACTTTAAAGGCAATGCAACAAACTTATTCTACATAACAGATGATTTAGGCAAGAGATATATAAAACATGGATCTTATTCTAGAAATATTTATAAGCACAATTCTAACAGTAACATAACAACGTGACAAATGAAGCAGGCATGGTGGTGCATGTCTATAATCCCAGCACACTGGGAGGCTGAGGCAGGAAGATCACAAATTCAAGCCCAGCCTGGATAACTTAACAAGACCCTGTCTCAAAAATTAAAAGGTATAGGGGCTGGGGTTTTAGCTTAGTACAAAAGTCCTAGATTCGGGCTGGGGATTTAGCTCAGCGGCAAAAGCGCCTGCCTGGCAAGC